ACAACTTAAAAAAAGAAATATGTGATTAAAGTTTTCAAGAAATATTATGCCACCATTAAGATTTCCAAGGTTTCATGTTATCAGCTTAAAGTCAAATAATCCACAGGAACTTTAAAAAGTTAAGCTTCAGATAGAAACCAAGAGTAAAGTTAAGAAATATTTTTCAAAAAAWAAAAGTATCAAGTTTGAGAATTATTTAAAAACTTAAAGTGTTGCCAAGGTGAACTAAGGTTTTTAAAGCATGCAAATATCTAACCAACGCACTATATATATATTATATAAATTTCGAATCTAAAATCAAAGAGTTTTCAACCTGAGCTCTAATGAAGTAAATTATTTGTTTTAGTTTCAATGTACTAAATTAGTTCTTAGTGTTTACATTAGCATTTATCAATTTATAGTACTTGAAAATCTGGTAGATACGCAAAGAAAGTATCCTAATATATATACTTTCTTTTTTTAATTTTAATTTTATATATTTAAGTAATTTACAATCTATACAACATTATGTACAATGGGCAAATTTGATAATTAATATAATATGAAATAACAGAAATTAGCATTTAGGGGCAGGCACTTAGCAGCACCACCCGAATCCTAATATATAYAAAAATTAAATTAAATGGATCTTTATTTGATATTATTTATAATATAACTAAATAATAACTGTACATATTTCGTTTTCTTTATGATTTAATAAAATTCAAACATTTAAAATAACGTCGTATACATTTTTTGATTACGCAAAAAATGTTATTTGATCATAGTAAAGTACGGTATTATACGCTGCATGGTACTATATATATTGTAAAATGCAATAGAAGTTAGAACTAACAGTTATAGAAAATCTTGATGGCAACGATCTATAATTAATATTTTTATTTTTTATTAAAATTAATTTTAAAAACATAAAAATATAGAGCCAACCTCGGCTAAGATGACAAATGTGAGCCACGCACTAAATGTGATATTTTTTTGGTACGAAAATAATTTATACTTTTTATTATGTTATTTGTTTAAGTATAATATAATATCATATAAATTATTTTTAGTACTTAATATATACCTACTGAAACTGAAATATAATCTTTWCAGAGATTTATTTTATTATTGATCTTGAGYCCAGAAACTATGGCCATCAGCTATTGTARCGGGTAACGATTGGTTTAGGACACGTGTATGTGTAACAAGAATTTGTCACTAAGAAACATAGTGGTCRCCCGTCTGGGAACTAGTGGCACTAATCGATGCTGRGGGCGGGCCCCGTTCCACCTAGATGTTTGTTTAGACTAAAGCCATTTTAGTCATCTTAAAATTAAATTGGCAATAGTTTTTAAATAAAATAATTTATCAATATTTTTTTCTAAAATGTTTATAGTCAAATTTAAAAAAAAAAAAATCATATTGATACTTACATTGTTACAATTACCCATATAAAATATCATTATTTCTTTACTTTTAAATTTCTACACGTGCTTTTTACTCACTCATTCCTATAGTCTAGTAATTGCTCAACATATATGTAAGTATACTTTTTCGTTGTATTCTTGTTTTTTTTCATGTTTTTCTGGGAATTTCAAAGTTATTAATTTAACTGAATTATGATTAATATAAAATTAGAATGAACTTTGTTATTAAAACACAAGTGAAACGATTTATATGCATTTATTATTAATTGAATACTCGCTGAATTCTATGCTCAAATTGTTGGATTAAAAACACAATACTYAAAAGTATAATTGTCTAATAACTAATAATAATAATAATATAGTTATGAACTAAAAAATCGCAGCATTAAATTTATATAATTTAAAATAACCACGAGTCTGTATAGTGTATAATAAATATTGTGTTTATCGCTTCCTCTCGTGATTTACTCTGGATAGATTATATAATATAATATATATTATTTAAAATCCATTGTATACTTAATTTTAAAACGAATAAAATAGCTTTGGTCGAAACGGGAAAAGTTAGTTTTGGACGAAACGAGTTACGGCTCTTTGAGTAAATTTGTGACTAAAAATTATGCGAYGCACCGTCCGCACCACCAAGTCACAAAAATGATTATTTAAGTATTATGTGTTATACTCAGATTTTTATAATTTATTTAAAAAATACAGTGTTTAGACTAATAAATATTGTTTATATTTATCAGTATGTATAATTATTATAAACTATTAGAACTAAGTTATRTATTTATATATAGGCAAGTTATACCCATTTTAAAAATATATCATGGATTATGTGCACATAATTGACTTTTTCTACAAGAAATGCATATTTCATGGATTCTTGGTGTTTTTGCCATATAATCTCCATTTTCATCTACACGAAATGAATTCGATAGTTCACACTATTAACCCGGATGAATATCTAGTTATCGTTATATATATATATATAGAGAGAGAGAGAGAGAGTGAGAGAGAGAGTAGTTATAGGTGAATCATTATTAACGAGCTTTTGATAAAATTAATACAATACATCGTTTAATCGTTTGCACGCATACAATAACTATAGTTACATGTCCTCTAACTTTAAATACTGTCTTATAATTTAGATCATTCATTTCTGTATTCAAGCAGACAAATTCCATACCTTCATAATGAATAACTTAACGCTGCTTGATTCCCTTGATTATATATTACTATGACTATGGCCTATGAGAACTATAAATACTGGTCATTTACCTACTCATATTTATGAACAATTAATATTTATTATTTACTACAACACTTATTTTTTATTTAATTAATATAATTAAATAACCTGCTAGTTTTATATAAATTTTTGAATGGACGTACATAGCGAATATATAAATCGTAAACAAACTTTTTTTTAATATATAGTTTATTAAGGCTTCAATAACACAGGTTTTTAACCTACATTTGATCAAAAGTTAAACAAGAAAAAGAGTACCTATATTATATACATTACATTTTGCAGGCATGAATTTTAGAACTTTATTATTTTTATTATTTTCAGTGGATAGTTTGAGTTTATATTAAGTAAGAATGTACTGCGTTTGCAGGTGTAAACAAACTATTGAGTGGTTTTTTTTCATTTCCTTTTTGGTGCATATTTTGATATTATCTATGCATATTGCACGCATTTATTCTATACATTTGTATAAGTATACGATAGAGGGTTTTATTGCATATAAAATCCACAGTGTAGTTATAATAACCAATAATATTTTAACGTTATAACAGATAGGGCTGTAATTTTTTATTGGTGGGAGTGCACAATCAAGTATTGRCTTCTGGGTCACTCAGTATAGATGATGTTTAACAAGTCTGAAATATATCCACAGACCTTCCTAAACGACTGTCCGTATAGTTATTATTTACTCAAACCCTCCGGCTATAACGTCCTGCAAGTGTACTCAGGGCTGCAGTACGTGTCTATAATATTATATGGTTTATGTACGCGTGTATATAGGTATATCGTCTTAATATATAATTTATATATGTTTATAACGTCGATATATGATAATATTATGTCGTACCTTGTCGTGTGCTAGAAAGCCACGTCGCAACCGTCTGATCGCACCATAAATATACACGTACGTGTACAGAATTGTGATCAGACTGGGCCCCAGCACCAGTATGGACAGCGTCACCGAATATGCCGCCATGCCTTGCCAGTCGAGCATGCACACCGCCGTGTCCTGGTCGAATACCGGATCACCGAACTCGAGCAGCGGTGGGCTGCAGAGCATCGCCGACGATATCCACGTGAACGCCATCCAGCACTGACACCTGGTGCGCGTCTGCACCGTAAAGTACCGGACCGGTTTACGTACTGCTATGTACCTGTGAAAAACCATCGCGCGCGCACACGTATTATTCCATTGTGGGTTTATTCATGTAGTGTCCGTGTATAAAATAAATTATGTCGTATTGTTGTGTGCATTGCAGCCAGAGCGAGATTCGAGCACACTTCAATCTATGTCTCTATGACTTCTCGTAAATTAAATAGATTTATATGCAGAATAATGTCGAGTGTTCTGCGATAAAAGCATCATCTTGTATAATATGTATTGTAAAATATCTAACATCTAATAATATTATATCATATATTATACTTCAACGTATCATTTATTATTGTAAATATAAACAGACGTGGTTCTAGAACTGTACATTATATCACGCTATATTAAAGTCTAATATATAATTTGCTATGTCTAATAATTAACCCTATCAAATCTTCATTGTTGTATAATATTAGATTGGTTACGTTTGTAAGAATGTATTATATTAACTATTAACAGTACAATAAACTTTCATTATATCAATACATAATAGATTCTTAATGTATCGAACGTCGATTTCTTAAATTTGTCGTAATCTCGAACCCGATTGAACCCCCCCCTCTGAAATATTATATTAAAATTCAATATTTCAAACTTTTTTCTGCAGAACATGTTCTCCTTGAGTTTTGTCATACCTCGAACTTACTAAATATTGATATCCAATCGTGAGCGAAAAAAATGTAATCAGAAAAATGGAAAGTGGATTAGTACAATACGATGCACGTTAACTACAATGATACCACTGCATAATTTCATGACTCACTAAGCTATTTTGTATTTTTATGTGATGGCATCATAATGCGGTGTTGTGCACACGAAAATGTCTGATGCGTTATATTTTGGTGAATATAATTTGTCCCTCCCCGTGCTGCAGTCATTTCCGAGAAGAATGTAAACACATACCTACGATAAAACGAACGTGCAGAAATGCAGAACACGCGAGACGCGACTCAGACATGCAATCAAACTGCAGCATATTTATACATATATATATATATATATTTCCCTCGTAGATAGTATAACTATATTATACAGTTTTTGTGAGTGGAACTAAGAATAAAAAAAATGGTGTGCTAGACCCTAGAAATGATATGTGTCTGGAGTTATAGTGATAAACCATAATATAATGTTCAATACATATTGTCTGAAATGTTAATAATTACATAATATTGAATATAAAATAAAATAATAACTAAGAAGTAATTTTTAAAACAAATATACGAGGAATTCCCTTCAATTTACATACAACAATTTAATCGTTATGTTTGGGTAGTGTCTAGTGCAGGTGCGTGAGTACGTGGAACGTATTCTTTGCGTACGTACAAAATTGGTACAATTGAGATTTTACCACTGAATATAGAATAAATAGAACGTATCAGTACCCGATGGAAAAGACATTTAAAATCATATATAAATATCGTAACAATTTACAATTTACAACATAAATTATTTTATTATTATGTTAGGTACCTATATAATATTGTATACAATTGTATAGCATAAAGATGCCTACAAACTCACTGTAAAATTATCATTATATCAGCTGACGATAGGTGATATATTAAACCACGACATTATTCCTAAAGGGGAAATAAAAAGTATTTTTTTCGGATTTTATACCTATTAATAAAATATATATTTAAAAAAAATTAAATTTTAATTTAAACTTTCTAAATTCAATAGCTAATATTTTAAAATTTAATATACAAATATAATTTGATATATATTTTAAACCCAAAGTTTTTATTATTTTTATAAGCATTTACAAAGTTTGATAAAGCTGAATAATTAGAAATTCAACAATAAAAATCAACCTATAGGTATTATAACTTGTCCTTCAACTCTCTTTATTTCAAATTCAAATAACGTAATAATGGGATATTATTTATAAATAAATATTAAACTTTTAGTTCAATATTCGACGATTTCTCTTTTAGAAATATAATATTAGACTATAGGCCTATAGCGATTATCATTTAAAACTATGATTTAAGGAACTAAATTCATTTTGTCTGGGAAAAATGCAGTATTTAAATTTAAATTATAGTTCAAGTTGCCAATAACTAATTAATAATTTAAAATAATCTCCAGTACTCGATAATTATTTTTAAAAGCAGTCAATCGATATGTCTTATGACGGCGTCATGTATAGGCAATTTAACACCATTATTAATATTGTGTGTCTGGAATAAAATGTTTTAACTTTTATGGAACCAATTCAATTAACAAATCTTGTAGTTTTTGTTGGTTTACCGGTGAAACAATAACTTTTAAATCTGAGTAACCATTATTTATTATTATAACCTGTATAAAATCAAAATTCATTAAATCATTACCTGTCCACACTAATCCACATAAGTGTGTATGCAGACACGGTCCACAGTGCGACTTCGATGTATCCGATTATTCTACAAGCAATTTTCCCGTAAACCCATTGTTGCACAAGTGCAGGATACACGGAAAATGGCACTACGAGCACACCGTAGAGCAGGTCGGCTAGAGCCAGTGACACCAAGTATACATTCATCACCTCTCCTCCACCTATTACATTATATACAGACAGTGAGTAGTTAGAAAAATTGGATTTAATCAAATAAAAAGCTTAATACTTTTTTTTGGAAATTACATTATGTTAAAATAACTCGTTTATATTTGTTTAATTTTGAAAAATTGTGTCTTAAACTACCTCAGTGATGTCAACAATATTATGTCAGTAAGTAATTCATATAAATGGTAAACACTTATAATAATAATACCTCTTATGTTGGTGAACGTAGCGATTATGAGGATATTAAGGAGGATGATGGCGACCGCCATGGTGAGCACCAGCGATGCCTGGGTTAAGGGCTCCAGGTTGTGGTGGGGGTGGGCTTCAGTAGTACGTGCCCACCGCCATTGTTGCTATCTGTCACACATCACAGCCTACACATAAATATATAAATGTCTCATTAAACGATTATTATTTAAATAGCTTTGTTATCACATTATAGGTAAAACCACAATTAGATAATATGATAAAATGCACTAGATTATATATATTATATATTAATTAAAACTAACAAGACGACGGTAACTATGAATTCATCTGATTAAAGTAGTTACAAAAATAAATAATATTCACTCCCTTACAAAAACATGAAACTCGTAGAAAATACCATTTAAAATGTTCTAAAATAGATATTAATCAATACTTTATTTTCCAAACTATTATTATTGGGTAGTTTATTCTTCAAAATACATTTTATTGTACGCATTTAGATTTTAAAGTTGATTTCATTAAAAACATTCTTATTATCGTATTACCTATTTGATATGTATAAAAGTATTATATGTTGTATGTATATAACATATTCAATGGCTTCTAAATCAACGCTAATAATGTGTCCAATCGATAATATTAATAGACTTATACAGTTATACATTTATATAGAATAAACTATAACTATATATAGTGCTATTTAAAAGTCAGTAAATAATAAAAACTATTATAACTATTGTTATATTTATTTCATAGGTGTGAAAATCAATATTGACGGTTTATCAAATTTTTATCTGTTTGCTAATCTGTGAAAATTAAAATATTTTAACCGTAAAGCGCATACTAAATACGTGTAAGTAAAAACTTTATATTATATAGCTATTAAAATCAACTTATTGATTGCATTGCTGTTATATTATGGCTTATTAGGGATGTATTTCAAAATCATAAGATTTTACATATTATAAATTAAAAAATAATGTAGTTTATTACTTAACAAAATATCGTCCATATTTACGGGAGAAAAGTGCAAACCATAAATTTACAATTCTTTAATAGTCGATAATGCATCATAAATACCATTGTATTGTGTTTGATACTAGCTGATACTACTGCCACCATTGTAATAATTTATATATTAACACTAGTTATAATTACTATGCTACTGTATACTACTATATATTAATACTACTGTAATAATATTGTACCTCATGATATATACATTACGACATCGATAAAAAAATATATCATAGACGCATATCGATCGGAGGACGACGGGTATTAGACTTTTGCTACACTCGCGTACCACTCGTTTAGCGCTTTATGCGATAAAGAACACACGAAAAATACGATCGACTTGGCGATAAGATTACGCGCGATTTACGATCATTTCGAACTATTGTTACTATTGAGCACATAAACGAACCGCCGTGTCCATCGTGGGAGAGAACTCACACATGATGACAATTGAATGTTTTGAGAAATCTATCGGGAAAAAATAAATAAACAAGAGAGACGCTACAGCATCGACGGACGACCAAAATTGACCGTTCACGTTGCGATGGCGGTGAGGAGACGATGGAGGGTCGGTTTTCGGAAATCTAAATGGTGCGAGTGTGCATACTATATGTCATAATATATACGAATTACTCTGGAAAACATCATCGGAACCGTTGCGAATCCATTATATTATTTAAAGTAGATGCTCATCGTTGCGGTGCATCCTGCGGTAGACAGTGCAGATGTAGTATGCGTGTCCAGTTATCCATAGTCGAAAAGTGCACGATTGGCGACAACATGACTGCAGCGGCGGTGGTGGAGTGTTGTGGTAAAAATGATRTGTAGGTAACGTTATTACGACTTTTGGGAGACGTGTTATAATATTGTCACAATAATAATAATACGTCGATACCACTTATCACTGTAATAGACGGTATTCCCGTGGGTCGTCTGTCGCTGACAGTGTTATATAACATTTTTTGATTTCAYTTTTCGTCACGTATATCACYCCGACATCCAAGGTATCGTCCGAACTGTCGTTGTGGTGTAAATCGTCGTAAAATAATATTATTAACTGCGATAACGAACCATCCCGACAGAGCGACGACGACGACGACAGCGTTTACGATACGCGAGAAGGTATCGTCGTGGGGTCCGAGCGCAGTGCGTATACCTACAAACCTACAACTGTTATAGACACGACGGCGAGCCGARAAAAAAATTGACCCAGACCGGCGCGCGCGTTTACCTACCCCCGAGACGAAATCGGAATAATCGTCGAACGCGAATGTTCTCCAGTGATACGAACGGGCGACGATTACACCGCGATAATAATATTAAACATTAAAAATAAACGATAAAACGTCAAAAATAGACTACAATCCGAAACGACGATCATTACACGGCAACGACGACGATSATGTTTGATAAGTGCAAGAACTGAAAAAATACCGTGGCGTATACGATATAATATATAACGTTATATATATCGTGATAGAATATACATATTATTACATATTCTATATTATATTACATTAGTGTGTGTGAGTGCACGTGTGTGTGTGTATGTACGAGTGTATGTGTGTATGTGTGTACGTGTGCGTGTGTGTGTGTGCTCACCAGATTCCGGTAACATGGCGGTCGCGCTGACGGGGTCGAAGTGCCGCAGCGGATCAGATGAATAATAATTGTAATTGTCGTGATGATTATATATTATATTGTTTATGTATTATACATAGATATATTTACAACGCGATGGATATTGTACCAAACATAATGTGTATATTATTATAATTATTGTTAATGGGTAGACGTGGAAAGCGAAAAAATTGTTTTAGAAAAAAAAAAAAGAAAAAAGAAAGATATTGTACACGGAATGTTGCAAGAGCTACACTACTACCACTATTATACACTGCGGCGGCCGAATCGCGCGCCTCCCCTTCTGACACGCGCGCACCTAGCACGCACCACTACCCCCCGTACTCCGTCAACCRCTACCCTCGACMCCACGACCCGCTTACCCGCACATACGATCGGAAAAGCTCACACACACACACACAACACAAACAGGAAAGCTCTCACACACACACACACGATCGTGGGAAAGCGTACACATACCGTACCGTCGCCGTGCCCTCCCCTCATCGTAGCCACCAGCTCACTCTTACCACCCTCGCCGACAAATTTCTCGGCCTTGCCTTACACGCGCACACACGCACACGAAAGCGTGCGCGTGCGCGCAATTCACTACTGCGCCCTCCATGCACCACCCCGGCACACATCACCCCACCGCCGATGGGCGCACTACCGTTCGAAAGTTTGTACTGACAACGCCGCGCGTGACGTCAACCAAAGCATTTGCGGCTCCAGTGTGTCCGTGTCGTAGCCGCGCTTATCTGACTCTATCCAGCGGATGCTGATGGCTGCTCTTGGCGTTTATACGCTCTCGCAAACACAAACGATCGTGCGCGCGCAATTACGCAATAACACATGCGTAATATACAATAACCCAACTCTCGAGCGAGCGTGCGCGCAAATACCATATCACACAAATATATAGGTATACATAAAAATAGAAATACTAAATACACRAGAATAGTGTAGGTATATCGTGGGATATACCATTATATTTATATAGATGGTTACCAACACCTACCCATAAGCTCTTTCAAAACTTTGTTTGCCACGTTTGTGTACAACCGGTTAGTTACAATGGCTAGCTATAGACCTGCAGTTTATAGGTTCCTGCTTGGCTGCTTATTTTCGAAAGATATCTGACAGTTATCGCGTTAAGTCATACCAGTGACTATATACCTAAAGTAAGCAGATATAAACACGTACAGACGTATCAATATGCGTTGACGTTTTCATATAACAGAAGTCACTCGATAATAGCGGGTACTCCATAAACTGAACAGAAACGCTTAGTACCCTGGAAAACCTATAATTGTAAAAGTAAATACATGTATTCTGAACTCCTCGATAATTCAAAATGTCTGTCGGTGGAATACACTCTACAATTAGAATTTTTTTCCAGAACCAATAACTTTAATAATTCGAATTTCACGATTATATGTATAAAGATTATGTACAATCTATTTTACTTTACGTACTTGCAATGAAACTAATAACGACAACAATTAAAATATATAATAATTATAGTACCTACTTTACCTACTTAACCTAAACTTTAATCGTACCGTTTTACCAAAACAAACAGTTGTTGAAATCGAATAAAAAACGTAGTCAGTCGGAATGAGTTCCGTAAAGTATACGTGTTTATAGATCGTTGACAAAAAAAAAAAATGATCGCGACAGTGAAACAGGTTAGGTTACATACAATTTCTCACCTATCTTTAATTCGAATTAATTTCTTCACCGATTATTCGACCACTCAGTAACTCGAATTTTTAGCTCGGTCCCCTAAATTCCAAATTATCGAGTAACTACTATATAATATATATATATATATATATATATTAAGTACTTACACCTACACATCTATTATCTACCAATAAATATATATATAGGTACAGTTGATTAAAAAACATTTTAATTAATATAGAAAAAAAATAGAAAATCAAATAATATAATCTAATATTCTAATATATTATTCCGTATCGGTAAATAAGAAATGCAAATGTCTTCGTTTTATTCCAAACATATTAATGACATCCTGAATGAAAATATCCTTGTTTATGTTCACTCTTTCATGATGAAKGCTCATCATACACAACCCATTTATATTATTTTTTGTCCAGAGGGGGGCAAGTGCACTATCTTGCCCCCCCCCCAATGGGCGCCCATGATGCTATTATAGGTTCATGTTTAAGGCTAGCCTTCCTTTTTTTATTCTGATATTTAGATCTACCATGAAGCAAACAGATGAATACAGACTACTTATGAAACACATAAATTCTAATTTATAATATAACATTTTGATAGGTGTTAACCCTTATGAGTTCTATGGATRGTTATAAGATGATGTACCGGTAATACTTAATTAATATACAGAGTGATTCATCAAGCATGATCACATAGCAACATATTTTCTCTTAAKAATTAATTAATTTAAATTCTTGAATTTGTGTTTACTACTTAAGGAATTTCTTGTGCTGACACAAACTTCTGTTTTTGAAATGAAAACCCCTTCTTTACTTTAAATTATTTAGTAAATATTTTTTTTTGAAAATTTTGATGTAGGTACCTAATTCAAAATTTAAATGAATTTAGGCTTAGAATTTAGAAATTAAAAGTTAAATATCTCGAAAACTTCTAGTTCATATTTTGAATTTTTGAATATCTATCTACATTTTCAAAAAATTATTAATAATTAATTTGCAGTAAAGGGGGGTTCTTATTTGAAAAACAGAAGCAAGTACCTCCACAGGTCACTCCTGAAGTAATGTAAAAAAATATCAAGAATTTGAAAATATTTTCATCAGACTTCATGCATATTAAAACACTCTAAAAATTAAAAATAATAACTGCAATTTTTTAGAATAATTGAGGGGAAGTAGCTATCACCATTGATTATAAAATCTATTCTATAATTAATGCTATCAGTCTATCACTCTGTAGTCGGTTAATATGTCATTAATCATGATACATATTTTTGATAGGTACTTATCACCTATATACCTGAATTTAGTATATACCATATAGGTACCTAATAATGTTCTGAATAAAATTAAAAACGTATGTAATATTATAAATATATGTATTAAGTGCCGACATGGCTATTAGCATTGATTATAAATACTTTATACTTGATAATAATATAATATAATTATACTTTAAAATCAATGCTATTATAGCTACATGCTACATGTATAATAAATATTCCACTTTGATCAGTTTTAGCGTCAAATACCAATTCGAAATAATAATAAATTGTCTACAAAAAGTCAAATTAAATTTTTATGTGCGTTTGAATTTCAAATTTTTACATTCGATATTCACTCGATTTCTCTTGTACTGATATTATTATTTAGTTAATAAAAAATGAGTGACTGTAGAATTTTGAAATTTTCTCTGAATGTTTATATTGGTATTTCCTAAACTTGATAAAATTTTCAAAACATCTCAAATATTTATAAGTTATTTATAGACATTTTTTTTTTTTTTAATGTCAATAAAATTTTATTCGTTAGGTCAAAAAGCTTGAATACTTAATACAATTAATACAATTTTAGTTATAATGTTATAGTTAAAAAAAATTATTCATAGTGGACACTTGAAATTTCTAGAGTATACTTTATATCCTAATTTTAATTTTTAATAGTTAATGTTGTTACTGACTTATACCATAACTTTTTAGTATGTTGTATGAATGAGCCAGGTACATAATGAATCTGATTTGATTAATTTGARATTTATTTCATAGCTACCTAAATTCTTTTTTAATATCTATTTTAATAATAACAATATAATTAATATAGTATAAAACATCCATGACTGACAAACCGTCTTCACTCACAACCGTTTTTTCATATACAATGATATTATATCATTGAAATCAAATTTAATACCATCTATTACAGTAGGTAACTGACTTGAAACCTACTGTACWACAGACATTCACTAACCCACTTATTTTTCTGTTAAAATATGAACTACTTATGAAGAACAAAGAACATTAAGTTGAATTATCAAATATTAGGGATAAATGTTTATAATTTTATCAAAACTATTATTATTTATTAACTTATAAACCCAACATTGACAAAATTTGATTTACAACAAAATWACTAAAATAATTATTTTTTGTTTAAATATCAATTAAAACTATGAGCAAAATATATATTTTTAGTTTAAATTTATGAAGAATCTTGTATTTTATTTTCAATCTTTTTAACTACATAGATAAAAAAAAATTTTATCATTTGTTTTTTCTAGACTATTTTGAAAAGTGCAGAAAATTTGTGTTATAAATCTAATGTACAAACTTAATAAGATTTGCTACCAAAAACTACTATCAAAGTTGAAGATTTAAGCATTTTTGCTGATCCAAAAGACTAAAAGAATAATAAACACATACATATAAATATACCATTGTAAAACCAATATATTCATTGGAGAAATTATTGTTGTTTAAATAAAATCAATAGTAAATTAATTACAATTGTAAAGAAGGATGCTGTTTTAGTTAGTGTATATAAATTTTAAGTAATKACAATAAATTATTTTAATTTATTTAAGTGGGTAAAAWATAAAAAAATATTTCAACTATAAAAAAAGATTTATTTTCATAACATACCTATAAATTGAATTCATTTAAGTAGGTGTAATAATATTTWAAAAAAATCCAGGTTGAAATAAGCAAACAAAATCAATTAAGTGATACATAATAACCAATATATAAGTTCTGGCTCATGAAAATAAAAATATAAACTACTATCGTTCAAAACTGATGTGAGAATATTATTCAATATTATAAACAAATAATCCTTTTCGTAGGTGATKTCGAGTCAGCAGCACCTGTATAAACATAAATACATTTTGTAATTAAAATTCAATTATTATATAGTGTGAAAATAATAAAAATATTAAAGTCTATTGTAAAATCATATACTGTAGTATTTAAATTGAAGAAATACCTTAAATAACTTTTTTTCTTTTATATGTTTTTAATATTCATCATAAATACATACAATACAGTACATTATACAGTATATCCTATGAAAACATAGTAATTTTGTATTGCTATGATAATATAGTTTTCATTACCACACCACTTCAAATTCATTTGTCTTCAGAGAATATCCTTTACAGTGTACATATACATATATAGACATATATATATATATATATATATATATATACATATATACATATTATATATGATATGTATGTAATAATATTTTAAATGTTCAATATTGATCATATTTTATGAAAATATAAATAATATATATTATATGTATATATACATATTAAATAAATAAATAATACATTTGTTATCTGGATACAACAAATAGTTAAACATTTAAAAGAAAAATCAAATATTTATTGTTTTCTTAGCATGCATTAATTGTTTGAGACATAGGCTATTACCAGTACAAATTAATACAACATAAATTATAGAACAGGTCAAATAAAAAAATTATACATCCTAGACTTTCCATTTCACTGATTAAATACACACCTTATACCTACCATATTACAGTTTTGACAAATTGGACGGCGTTTGATGAGCTCGCCCTGTATAAAAATCTACCACACCATCATGTTGTGCCAACAATGAGGAACATACTGGTGTCATGACCACCATCAAATCAACACCATCAAATCAACACCATCAATATCAACAACACCATCATCATCATTGGCAAATGACGCCCCAATTAAGTTCATTTAACCATAACAACTCACATTCCTCCTATATGAATATAAAATTCAAACTATTTTATATGGATAAAATTAAATCAGATATCAAAAGGATAAAAATAATTACAAAAAAAATTTTTTTTATATTACTTTTTTTTAAATTTTACGTTAAATTAAGTTACAGATGTTATTTGCTAATAATTAGTCCAATAAAAAATAATCTGATGTTTATTTACAGAAAAATATAAATTGGAGAGTTCAGGAAGAATATAGAAGAATTTTATACTTTATTATATTTGTGGGTGGTAGATATTTTACACAATTTTATTAAAAAATAAATTTTTAAAATGGTAAATGTATATAACAATTATATATTACAAATGAATTGTTTGCCTTTAAGTAAATTGAACTTGAAATTTAAAAAAAAACATCTTATTTTATATATTAAAACTATGAACATGTGTAAAATGCAATATGATATTCAAGTCAAGAGAGTATTACTAATCAGTTATTTGTATTGGTCAAAATTTTAAAATTAAATATAAAAGGAAATATAAAGAGTCAAAGAGATATAATCTTTTTTTAAATTATTTGTCTAATACTAAAATATCAACTTCAAAATAATTACTGTCAATACTACTATTTTAGAATAAAATCACATGCCATAATATTTATAACAAAATAGCTACTTTCAAGAAAAAAAATATGTTTTCATATTGTAGAAATATACATTTTGTTTGAGAAGTGTTTAAAGCAAAATTTATTGAGTTAAAAAATAATTTTTAGTTCATTAGTAAATAAAATTGGAAATAAACAATGTTATACTTTTTTTTTTTAAACACAATTTGAACTGTCTGAAACATAAATAACTTTTCAACTTGAACTATAAAATAGCTCATAATATAATTATTTTAACAATAGAAATTGTCTTTTTCTTCATATTTAAAAAAATAAAATTTTAGTAAGAGAGTTAGAGTTTAAGTGTTAGAAAAGCAGCAATAAGAATAAGATATTCTTCAAAGCAAGTAACATAATTGATAGTAATTCGTATAACATCACAGATATAAATAATACACTAGTTACACTAAATAACAATAATAATAAATTAATTCACTATTCATTAATAGAATATATAAGATGATTATAATACAGTAGTCATTCGATAATTCAAAATTAAGGGGACCGAGCTAAAAATTCAATTTATAGAGGTTTTCGACTTCCTGAGTGTTCAAATAAATCAGGGGAAAATACACTAATTCAAATTAAAGAGAGGTGAAAATTATCTAGATTAGGTAAGTAAAATATGATAATATATTTTAATCACCATCATTATTAGTTTCATTTCTAATAATAGATTGTACATATGAACTTACATATATTCATATTTAAGGAAATTCAAATTATAGATTCAGGAAAAAAATTTGAATTGTAGGTGTGAGTCTTACCGACAGATATTTAAAACTATCGATAAGTTCGATTTATGTAGTTTTTCAAATTATCGAATGACTACTGTATATGACTATCTTTATCTAAAACATTTTTGAAAAAATTTATCATACATTTATTACTTTTTTTTAAATAATACTCTTTATTATATTTTATACATTTTAATAATTTTATAAGCTTTTTACTGTTGTGTATCTATGAGGACATATATTTTTTATTTAATAATCCAAGCAATAGTTGGATACTTATTAGCTATAAATATTTAAAGTTTATATAGAGTAGTGAACCAACATTTATATACTTAATATTAACTCATAAACTACTCATCCTAATATGATTTCACATCACAAATCACTTCAATCAATATTCTAATTTAAAATAAGAAATACAAATTGTGTTTAGTTATTCAAAAACATTATAAAATAATGAATGTTCTTTGATAAAAGAACCACTTTGTTAAGAAGTTTAAAATTAAAAAATAAATTTTGATGATTTATTTACATAATAGATTTCATCTAAACTATGTAAATTATTGCATTACATATCATTTTCAAAATTTAAAAATATATCTAGTTTATTAACTAGGTATCTATATACTATAATATGATATTACACATAAAAGGCAAAAGTTAAATATAAAGCCACATGTCTGTATTTAATATTTCGCTAAAAAATAATTAATGTATAAGGTTTTAAACCAAGTATAACACTCTACCTTTACTTCAACTTCATTATTTAGTTGTTATTCCTTTTTTTACTGATTTTGTTTCATATGATAATATTTAAAATTAACAATCCAATAATTTTTATRGCATATTATATACAGAGTATAACTGGTCTATTTGACTAATGGTAGTGGTATGCATCACATGATTAATAATAAAATATATGTATTTATAATTTACCATGTTTACATGATGACGTTAAAACGGTTTTAAATTTTTAAACTACATAGTGGGAGCATTTAACGCCATCATATAAACATATAGTAATTGATTAATTAAACTTTTAATGATAATAAAACACAGATAAACAAAAAAATTAGAATTTTAACAAATTTTAAAAATTGTTTAAAAATCAATGATGTAACCAAGTTAATAGTTTTAAACGCTAAAATTGCTTTTAAATACTTATTTAAAAAAAAGCTATCTTAGATTATAAGAAAAAAATTTAATACAAAATTAAAATTATTTAATTTTAGTTGCAAAAGAATAAAATAAAATACAACATCTACAAATTATAGCACAGAACTTTAAAATCATTACAAAAAA